AAAAAAGACTTAACTTGGACCATCTAATTCAAATCAGTTGATACTCCCAGGCTATATTTTTTGATAGCTTTTTCAGATTAAAAACATTCATTCAAATTCATGGTATATGAGGAATAGAGCTGGTCAGGAAAAATCTGACAGTCATTTTCTGCATGATTATTTAGTTCTATCGACACCTTAAAGCTCTGCAAAACTGCTGCTGATTTTATAGTCCAGTAAAAAGTCAAGGTGTCAAAGGTTCTATTTTGCTCCAAACAGGTGACAGTATTTTGAGTTGAAATCCTTGCTTTCACATCAAGTTACCATTTGAAACAGTCAGAAGCAAGATGAGGCATCATGTTTTGACTGACTTGAAATAATACGATTTTTCACCTCCCCCAGTAAAAGCAGTGATACCGTTCAATTTTGTTTCCGTTCCAAGTGAACTAAAGTTCCAAAAACGCTCTACAAAATGTGACTGTTTTCCTGCAGCCAGTGGTAAGGACAGCATCAGGGTACTTCTCGTTGGCTGCAACTCCTGTAAGGTCAGGCCTGTTTCCAGTTTCAGGGCTCAAGGACACCTCCCACAGACAGGTTTAACTTGACCACTGTCAAACCGGGAGGCAGATTACCTGCCCGAAACCAGAGCCCTGCCTGAGCCAGCAGTGAGACTGCCCTAGAGCACAGTGCTAACGGGGCTCTCGCTCCCTGAGGAGTGTCACACACGCCTCGCATGCACCAAAACAGCCTCAACCTTTCATGTTTCATCTGCACCTGTCATTTCTCTGTCTGCAAGTCAGGCACTAAGGGCGAAACCTATGACAGGATGCAAATGCTAGAAATCCCAATTCTTCTACACCTGCATGTTTATCGTCTACGGAAATGCAAAGCTGGTTGGGGTTTTTTGTTTGTTTGGCTTTTTGTAATTTTGTGTGGGGGCTTGTTTGTTTGTTTGGGGTTTTGGTGTGTTTTCTCTTTTTATTTATTTATTTTTAAAATATAAGTTATTACTACCTCACCAAAAGAAGGTTAGGTAACCTCTAATAGCTAACCTTAAGCCACTGTGATACCAAGTGAGACACCAAGCAGGCAGGCAGATGCAACCCTGAAGTTTCACCTCCTTCTGAGGTGCTTTGCATTGGGTGGCCCTGGCAGCATCTCCCTGGCCACTGGGAAGGCAGCTCTGAGGTGCACAGTGCCTTCAGCACGGCAAAGCAAGCAGCCAGTGCCCCGGCAAAGGAGAGCCACATCTACAGGCACCACAGCTCAGGGTGCTCCTCACTAAGGCACGCAAACCCTTTTGTGGGTTTCGCCTCAAGTAAATGGCTGACTTGCACAATACAGATCCGTAGGCCTTTTGTCACCAAAGGAATCCTTAATTGCTGGATTTCAATGAGACTGCTCGAGTGAACTAGATTTGTCAGTTCAAGTCCTGTTTTTGGAGTAATGGGTCAAAGCAACTTGTGAAGACACTTCTGTGGGAGCTGCAGGGGTGGGAGAGGGCCAGGAGTTACTGGTTTTCTCCCTCTGAAAGGAAGGTCACTTTGACAATACACACTGCCAGCAGCAGACTTGCCCATAAAGCAAATTACAAAGCACTGTCCATGACACAAGCAAACACCATTATTATACATTCAAAGTAGTGCCCAAACTGAATTAAGCAGAACTTTATAGAACAAGTTTGAATCAAATATTAATGTGCACCCCAGAGAGAAGGACGAAAGGAAAACACATTGCTCCAACTCTTTTTCTCCCTGAAGTAAAAGCACAGTAATGCAGCAAGACAGAAAAGTGAAGGTGCTGGTTAAATAAAAGTAATCAGGCATAAGATGGCAAATAGCTCTATACTTTCCTTAAGACAATTAAACATATGATATTGTAGATGTACCATATTACAATGTGAAATCATCACAAATGTGCTGGACAGTTTTTGCTCACCTTAGCCACAATTTTATTACACTGTAAATCAGTGCCAGTGATACCATGTCCAGATGAGTATATTCAGCTAAGCCACAGGGCCAGTGGTCACAGAGGCCCTCACCATGTTAGACTCCACTCATGATTTCAGATTACACCATTTAGCTGTTTCACGTAACAGTACTGTGGAATCTATTGTAGTCTGTCAAAAATAACTAGTTCCTCAGCAACATTTTTCTTACTCATATGAATTAGAAATTTATCACTGGGTCCTAACTTTTAAAGACACTTGTTAAAATTATTAATAACCAACTTATTTATACCACCTTACTAATTTCTGGCTTACATTGACTGCCATGCCCATATGCCAAAGTCATTTGTCCCTCACTGAAGACATGTATTTACTCAACACCAAAATAATTTCCAGAGAAAGCTGTTCAGAGTTTTATACTTAACTGGTATTTTATGCCCCTATGTCTTTCACCAGCAGGCAACATAGAATTTCTGAAACAACATGCCTGAAGCATAGACCACAAAACACCACAGCCAGTGGCCTACCATCAGACAACTTCATATTGAAAATTATTTCTTTTGCCAAAGACAAGCCACGCAGAGGAGGCAGTAATTTGTTGGAGGTGGAGAGGAACAGGCTTACAGGCAACCCTCTAAGTATCTGAACATTTCAACAAATCTGCAGTCTACTATCAACAAAATACAAGTTTCTAAAGCATTAATTAGGCTATCTTTCTTTCTCTTTTTCATCAAAATTGTAGCTTTTTGGGGTAAAAAGGGCTCAAGAAGGTACCCAGTGTCTTTTTCACAAGAGATACCATTCTTAAAATTGTTCTTATATTGTGAAATGACACTGACCTACTGACATCCATCAAGTGCTACAAGTTTTCTGAGCACACACATCAAGGTGCTGAAAACTCCTGAATCACTGGGGCAATGGTAACAACCTTTCCACTTTAGTGATGCTAAATAAATGTGCAAGTGCAAAAATGAACTGTAGCCCCTCCAGTTTCCCACTGGGTCAAGCAGTGGCTACAATGGATGTAACTGAGAAGTTGGAGATGTTGCCTTCCCTCCCTTCCCACTCTGGTATTTTTCTTCTTCACTCCTTTGTTCACTTAACAGAACTTTGTTTGAAGTGTGTTTTTACTCCTTCACTGCATGACCAACCCACACAGTCAGAAGACAGGCTTACAAAAACCACAGATCTCCAGCAGGGAGCTCAACGGTGGGTGTAATATTGGACACAGCTCTCCATTCATCATGCACATTCTCTGCATTTCAAGTTGACAGTGTCCCTTTAGCTTACTGTTCCTCCTCATGGGAGACCAGACGAGTCAAACCTAATGAAAACACTTCCTCCACCAGCATATAAACAAACAGATCCTCACCTGAAACTGTTCTTAGCTTCCAGAACGCTAGTTAAAAAGACATCAAGACAAAAAGAAAAAAAAAGAAAAGAAAAAAAAAATAAAAAAAGGGGGGGGGGTGGGATCCTAAAGAGTGTTACAGCTGTAAGGATGGTGGAAGGAAGGATGTGGGAGTTAAGGAGGTTGTATACAAGGAGGAAAATGACAAGGTCTCAAAGGCGTTCCCAGTCTTGCGTGCATTTCAAAAACCGGGTCCACCCTGGTCACTCATTATTTAGCATTTTAAGAATCAGAGCATATCAGAGTGATGGATGAGCAACTGCAGAGGGTTGCTTTCCACTCAGCCCAAACCTTCTCCACCAGCATCTACTCAGCCCTGCCCTCCCCATCACTGCTGAACGGACCAAGGTATCATGGGCTGGTTCCCACAAAGTGACCCCCTTCCCTGGCCAGCCCTCTCCCAGAGCTCACGCACACGCAGAATCCACACAGAGCAGAAATCAGGCGAGATCCCGAGGAAGCAGAGGCCAAACTGAGCATTATTAAGGAGGCGACACGTACACTGTGGCTCTGCAGACGCAGCAAAACGCTGGCACCCATGGTGTGGTGTTTGGTATCTCTCCCTAATCTCAAATGTAGCTGAAAAGGAACTGGCACCAGATCAGCGGCCTCGTCTGGGAAGGAACAGAGAGGCACTAGGGGAGACACAAGAAACAAGCCTCTTTTCACATCCCTACCACCCTTGGGCATTTTGTGCGTCCCTTCTTTCTTCCCTGAAAGAGGCCTTTGTCATAGAAGCGCAAATCCTATACGATTTATTTCAGAGGGAGAGAAGGTCTTTTTATTTATTTCCCCCCCCTCCCCTTTTTCGCAGTTCGGCGACAACAAATACGTCCCTGTGCTGCGCCCCCGCCCCTCTCCCCGGCCGGTGTCCGCGGGGGCGGGGACCCCGACACGGGCGACCCCCGGGCACGCAGGGGCCGCGCACGGGCGGTCGCGGGCGCTGCCCCCGGCCCTGCCCGCGCTGCGGCCGCGGCTCCCGGCGGGGGAGGCGGGCGCGGGGTCCGCGTGTGCGTGCGCGGGGGAGACCCGCAGCAGCGCGGCCGCCTCTCCTCGCCGGGAGCCCCCGCACCCCGTCAGCGCTCGGGCGCACAAAGGAAACAGACCCGCCGCAGCATCCATCCATCCATGCAGGCAGGCATCCCCCCGCCCCCGCTCCCCCGGGCGGGCTCCGGCCCCTCCGTTACCTGAGGCGGCTGGGCTCGGCTCGGCTCGGCTCAGCGCAGCGCGGGGCCGGGGCGGCGCCGCCGCACTCGCATCCTCCTCGCTCCGCTCCTCCGCCGGCTGCCCCCGCCCGCCCGCAGCGAGGGGCGCCGCTCCGGGCGCTGCTGCCTCTCCCCGGGGCAGTCTCGCTGCGCCGAGCCGCGGCCGGGCACGGAGGCGGCGGCTCCGTGCGGCGGCACAGCCGCAGCCTGGGCAGGGATGAGCTCGCACGGGCTGTCCGCGCTGATGCTGCTGCTGCTGCTGCCGCCTCGCCTCCGCTCCGCTCCGCCCGGGCGAGCGCGGCTCGGGCGCTCCCTCCCACCGGGGCTCCTGACAGATGGCGCAACCGCAGCGCCGCCGCCGCCCGGCCCCGCTCGCCCGCCCGGAGCCGGCTGCCCCCCCGCCCGCCTCGCCCCTCCGCGGGGGCGGCCCCTGACTGACAGTGGCGGCGGCCAATGGCGAGGCGCGCCCCGCAGCAACCGCCGCTCTGATTGGTGGGTGGCGGGGGAGGCGGGGCGCGCGGCCGCGGGCGGGCAGCGCCCATGGACGCCCCCGGGCAGCGGCCGCCGCTCTGGGCGCCCGGCGCGGCCGTGACGGAGGCGGGCGCGGGCTGGGAAAGGAAGGGGACCGGGGGCGAAGAGGAGGGAAAAGGAAGGAGAGGAGGGGTTGTCGCTCTGTGTAGAGGTTCGCGACCGGCAGCTGCCAGCGCCGGAGCGGTTCGCGATGCTCCGCGCGCCGCTGGGGCGCCTCGGGAGGAGGAGGGAGGAGTGAGCCGAGCGTCTCAACATCCCCGATGAATGGGAGAACAATCCCAAACAGATTATGTGTCTTTGTGTAAAACGACGGCTTGTTTTACTATTATGTTTTTTTCATCCGTAATTCTTGAAATTGGCAATAGTGGGTGATAAAGCAACGGCGATAATGAAATACGCGGAGGTTTTCCAGAGTTATGGCTTTATTCCATTTTCCACATTTAATCGCGGAGTATTCAGCGAGCTGTTTTGGGAGGAGCGTCACCCCACGGAGCTGGTCTTTCAGGGGTGTACCTGCTGTCCCCACAGCACGGCTGGGGCTTCGGTCTTGCACTGTAGTCACAGATGTGCGGGCAGCCCTGTCCTCCCGTCACGGGGCACCCTGCTCCGCAGGCAGGTGATTGGAAAAGTTCTCTGTACACTTTGCTTCCCTTCAGGTTCTCAGCCGTAAATGCTCCCAGCGTTTCTCAAGGTGTTGCATCCACCTCCAACGCCCATTGAAAGCATCGCATGCTCCAGCTTCAGGTCCTCTCCCCAGCACCGCCCCGTCTGTGACCTTGAGTGCTCCCATACTGACAGATTGGCACATCTCACTGACACTTGTCTCCTAGGCTTGGAAAGCTCTTCTGCCTTAGGACTGAAGAAATTGCAGTTTAGGCTTCAACAAGAAAAGGAGAGACATACAAAATACAAAAGCAGAGGGAGAGAAAATTAAGTATGTTGAAATAGCAAAGAGAACTATAACACAAGTTTTCAATAAATGAAGTTTACATTTGTCTCCCACTTCTCTCTGGATTTCATTTTTGTATGCTGGTATTTAACCAGAGAAATACCTCATCTTGGCAATTTGATTTCCTGATGAAATTACAGTTTTACAAGTTCAAATATAAACTTGTTTCTTATCAAGATGTCTACAGCTGGGTGTTCAGAGCAAGATAGATTTTCCTTTCTCTTTCTGGGTGATTGTGTAGGTTATGTGTAGGTGACTCTTGATCATTACATTTCAAGATGAAACAGAGTTTGTTCAACAAGTTCACATAAAGAAGTTGGAGGAGACGGGGGAATTACGAAATAAAATGTCACTTGTGTCACTTCTCATTTTAATGAGAAGTGTAGATCTCATTGTAGATGTACAAAGAAACAACTTTTTCAGGTTCCTAGGTAGCTCATTTTTAGTTTCCATCCTAATCCTTCTATGCAGGTTGATTTTTTAAATCATTTATTTTACCATGTAAAAGGTAAAATCAACACAAGAGTAGAAATGTATCGCTCAACTGAAAAAACAACTTTCCATTTTCTTCCTGTTGGATGAAAACTGCAGCTCGGTGGAGAGGTCTGATTATGCCTGTCCCAGAAACACCCATTGTGATCATGATGCTGTAGACTTTGAGGAGTTCAGGCTGCAGCCATTGGGCCAGCAGCAGGCAGCAGGTACCAGTCCATGCAGAGCAGAGCTTCATCAGAGCGGTTTGGAGGCAAGGCAGATTTATGGACTTCCAGCTTGGAGACCATCAGGACTGCAAATGGTGTCTTAATACTCCAGGCTCCTCAGCAGAAAGTCAGCATGTGGTTCTAGGGAAAGGGGCATTTTTGCATGCCTTGTTTGCCTTTTTTATGGGTTTACACATAATCTTACCCCCCCACAAGTCAATAGAGGTTTCTTAGGGACCTTAAGCACCTTGGAAATTAATCAAACAACCAGGTATTCTTTCTGCAAAAGCTACAGGACAGAAATGCACTTTGTTTTATAATCAAAAAGGCATGAATAAAGAACCTTTGTCTGAATTTTGAATGCTCTTGCTCTGAATGAAAACTAGAATGACACTAAGAAGGAAAAAAAAAATAGATAAAAACCTACTTGACACTCTTTTTCGGGCCAAAGTAGAAAGTAACTAACTAATCAATGAAAGCAGACCAAAACAACATCACACAGCAGCCACAGAGCTGCTGTAAGCCTGGGCAGAAAAACTGGCTCAGCAGCATGTCATCAAAAGTCTGATTCTGAGCTTATATAGCTGAAGAAGAATAAGGTGTGGAGCCAGGAATCAAGTGCTGGTGGTTGCATGGGAAGCATAGGATGAAGCCTTGGGTTTCCCCTGAAGGGTACCTGTACTTCCCTTGGGATCACAAAGCTGCTGCAGGCTCCTGCAGCCCCGGTGGCAGGGGTGAGACATGCTGGAGTGTTCCCTCTGTGTGAGTCAAGCCCACATGTCCCCACAGCAGCTCCTCCTCACACAAGTCTTGTTCTTTAGTGCTCAGCACCATGGTTTGACTGTATCAATATTTGCCTTCAGGAATCACCCAGAAAACCTGACAGTTAACCTCCCACTTAAACAGAAGAAATAATTAAATTTACCTACGTAACACAATCACAGTTCTTTACTCTATTCTCTCAACTTTCCTAAATACTTTAACCTTAAGTTCATGACACTGTTTTCTCCCACCTTAATCTGTGTAGCCTTCCTCCTCATGCCAAACTATTTTCTCCTACCTCACTTTGAAAGACTTATTCATTAAAATATTGAAATAATGTCAATTGAAATGCTGCTTCTTCCTCAGTCATTTTCATGGAAATACTGTCAAAATCTTAAATGTGCAACCATCTGTACTGAACAATGTGGTATAAAGATTTTCTCCTCTCCTTCCTATTCCCTGCTCCTATCTTCCGGTAGAGATGCATGGCTTCTCACAGCAATATGAAAATTACAGATTCTGGTTAGGATTTATTTGTATTAATAATTTAGCATCTGGAAATACAGGGTAGCAGTCACAAAATTACACACAAGTGTCTTTTGGACTTGTCAGTGGGCAAGAAGTCAGTGACAGCTGTCATGACTGTATGTTGAATAAAAAATATCCACAGTTTGCAATGAAATGTAATATTTTAAGCAGTCAAACATAGTCACGGCTGTAATATCAAGGAGATGTAAAAGCAGCTCTTTTGTAGCACAGGGCAGAACATCAGTTCAGTTTCCTTGGTTGTGTCAAACCACTCTTGGTAAAACTAGGCTGACTCTCAGGAATAACCATCAGAATTATTTGGGATTCTTCTGAGGCATAATTTGTAAAAGTCAGATCCTAATGAACTTGTATTTTAAAAGATCCCCAAAGTATAAAATGTTATAGTGTCTTTATTTTTTCTTTTTTTTTAATTAATAAAAATGTTAATATTGAGATTACCTTTCATAGGGATAAACAAATGTCATGCTTAAATTCTTCACTCAAACCAATACACTAGTCACAGACTGATAGGTCACTAATCTGCCTCACCGTTTTATCTTCTGTCTTACACTTCCTCCCTTTTTACATTGCTAACTTGGCAACACTTCCATTTGTTTTGTTTTTGACTGGGTGTATTTTACCAGCCTGTCATGTATAGCATATTATAAATAATTGCAGAGTAGTGGGGTGGGGGGGGGAAAGGGATCTGAACTTGCCTACAGTATTTTAGGAGGCTGACAGCATTTGCCTCAAACATCCCACTGTATTTTCAGGAGGTGCTTCAGCTGAGGAGTGCTAAATGGGTCCTGCTGACTCACAGGTGATTACTGCCAGGGAATGCTGAGGTGATAGGTCTGCCTCCCCGGGGACATCATCTTTGAGGTGTGAACAGCAACCTGGAAGCAGAAGGGAAGGTTTGAACTGAGCTCTTCATCATGCTCATCAGCAATATTACACTAACACACAGAAGCTGAAGGAAGGATATTGGCAGGGATAGGAAAAGAGCACTTTGGCATTTGTGTATTAGGTAAATAATTTGTGGGAGCAAGTGTATAGAAGAAACGTCATCACCTTATGTCTTTAAGGAATAAACAGAAGAGGCCTTCCTTATTGCTGCAGAGCTCTAATATCAAACATTTACATACATACAAGCCTGCTTTTCTAACTTTCTTAGACTATCCCTAAAGCAAAAATTGGAAGAGATGTTTCCTCAGACACTACACAGGTTTTTTCCAAAACCAGCAAATCTGTAAGAATAGCATATTTAAAATGGCATCATGCATTTTCTAAAAGTTAAATTTCCGTGTTTATAATTTCCAGATGTGTTTGCGCTCTGTGGCTACACATTGACACGAGGGAAAAAACACACATGGGACAACCTTAGGAAATCCAGAAATAGCAGAAAAATATCAAAGCCATTTTTCATAACTTCCAGATTTATTAGAAGTCACATCCTACTAAACTCAGAAAAAATTTTCTTATTCTTATTTTACGTACTCAAATAAACATTTGAAATTCTCTGAAAGTTGGTAAAAGGCATTGACTTTCAGTAAAGATATTTTTTAAATGACAGTGAGGAACCTGTGGGATAAGAACAGTAACTTGTTGTATTTATAATCCAGCCAAGGAATATAGCAGTTCTCTTCTGGGATAGGATATTTTCAAATATACAGGAGGCAGTGTGTATATTGCATCACATAATTTTGTAGAGATGAAGAACAGATAATATACATAAAGATGTGCCATTGTTCTCCTTCTGCTGTCAGCATTAGCCCTCCACTGAGCATCAGAGGAATGCTGGGAAGGCTGGCTTCCTATAGCAGAATAAGGCCCAAGTTTATTCTTAAATACTACATTCTTCCTTTATTGGTAGACACCAACACCATAGTAGATGCACTGATAAACTGCAGATATGTTTCCAGGAAATAGTCCCACGTAAGGCTTTGTGATTCCCAGAAGGATGCAGTTTTCAAAGAACTACCTCTGAATGCCAAAAAATAGATGTAAACAGTTTCTTGTCTGCCACTGTCTCCAAGCCACACTGTGTAACAGAACTAACACAGCAATCTTTAGGTCTGAAATGTCAGCACATGCTAAGAACTGACTCCATGAGGATACTCAGATTATCCGAGGGAGTACTTTGACTATAGTACTTCTATTCCCAACATACAAAATGGGGACAAAAATGTCTTCTTACTTGTGCAGCCTGAAGATTAATTACTATTTGTGAAAAATTATAAATATTCTAGGCAGGCTGTACTGCAGAAGCATGAAGAAAATTAGTAATACTCTTTCCATTGTGAGGCTGAATTTTTGCACAGTGCCATCTCCTGAATGTGAGGAGAGGCATATTTCTATTTTCTCTCTGATCCTTTTGGCCATTACATCACCAAATGAGTCAGGATCCTCTCAAAAAAACCGATTCATGTTCCTGTGACTAACTGCTGCATGCACTCAGGGAGGCTACAGCAAGGTTATGTAAACTGTCCCAGTTCTGGCACTACTCAACTGTTGAACTCTTGACCTTCCACCTCTCATGTTCTTTTAATCTATTTTGGGTGTGATTTCCCAGTTTGCTTGGTTTGTTGGTTTTTTATGTTTGGTTTTTGTTTTTTGGTTTTTTTTTTTCCCTAATGGTAAAATAACCCAGATATCTGTCAGCTGGAAGTAGGCTGGTTCCATGTGTATCATTAGCAAAGACATATGCTAATGAACTTATTAGAGGGTTGGGAGAGTCCTTTGGTTGCCTGCACTCATCCTCCTCCTGAATACCACTCAGAAGCAGTGGGCTGTCCTTGTCTACCTGGGACAATTATTAGGAAGGTACAAAGTATATATATAAGCAGTGAGTTTCCAGCTATCTGCTGACAGTGGAGTGCTGGATCCCACAGTTTGGGGTAGGGGCCGAGCTTCTCACAGATTGTCTTACCTGCCTTCTTTCCCACATCTGCCCCTTGTTACTCATGCTCATAGAGGCTGTGTTCTCTCTAGTGCCTCATCTGTTTGTCCCTATCACACACCGACAGCCTTGATGTAGTGTTTTACTGACAGTAACTCTCTTT